GTGATTGTGCCCACCAGTAGCAGAAAGTACATAACTTTCAAAATTGCACCTTTCTGCCCAAACTACAAACTTTTGTTCTTATGAAAGAGCAAGTACAAAAATAAGGGAAAGCCATCTGAAACCTGTCTACATCAGTGGCAACAGGGTTCAGACCAACAACATAAAAGGAACGTGGTCTGAAAGCTCTCTACATCAGCGACACCAGGGTTCAGACCAACAACATGAACGCTAGAAAGCTCAACTATATATATTCCACAAACCAGAAAGTTTTCTTTGGCAGAACCAGTCTATATTTTTTTGCCCATGAAATATTGTTAAATGTAAATAATGCCAATTTGTGACATCATTGAAATGCTCATTAATAATAATAGCAAAGGAAGCCTTCTTGCAAGGGTCACAATTAAGTGTCTAGTTTGTTTCATGTTAACCCAGCTTAATTTTGCCATTTAAACACTCACATAATAATTTATTTCAATGAAAAAACAAGCAATTGACTGTAAGCAAGTCTAACCTGATTAGTTTTTGGTTGGGTGTTAATGATCTCATTTACATAATAATTAGACAATTTTTAGCTGTTCAACTGATTTCTCAAGAACTGTTAAAATAATATTCCAATAAAACATGATATATACATAAGTGCATTGAGGTAATGCACAGACCTGATCAGAATATAGTGGAGATATGTGCATATTTAACTATCTAATTTGCATAATTTATATCTCAAGAATGCTCTAAACATTGCATTGGGGTAATGCAGACCTGGTTAGAATATGGTGAAAGTCTGTGCATATTAACTATCTAATTTGCATAATTTATATCTCAAGAATGCTCTAAACATTGCGTTGGGGTAATGCAGACCTGGTTAGAATATTGTGAAAGTCTGTGCATATTAACTATATAATTTGCATAATTTATATCCAAAGAACTCTCTAAACATTGCAGTGGGGTAATGCAGACCTGGTTAGAATATTGTGAAAGTCTGTGCATATTAACTATATAATTTGCATAATTTATATCTCAAGAACTCTCTAAACATTGCGGTAGGGTAATGAAGACATGGTTAGAATATGGTGAAAGTCTGCATATTAACTATATAATTTGCATAATTTATATCTCAAGAACTCTCTAAACATTGCAGTGGGGTAATGCAGACCTGGTTAGAATATTGTGAAAGTCTGTGCATATTAACTATATAATTTGCATAATTTATATCTCAAGAACTCTCTAAACATTGCGGTGGGGTAATGCAGACATGGTTAGAATATGGTGAAAGTCTGCATATTAACTATATAATTTGCATAATTTATATCTCAAGAACTCTCGAAACATTGCTGTGGGGGTAATGCAGACCTGGTTAGAATATTGTGAAAGTCTGTGCATATTAACTATATAATTTGCATAATTTATATCTCAAGAACTCTCGAAACATTGCGGTGGGGTAATGCAGACCTGGTTAGAATATGGTGAAAGTGTGTGCATATTAACTATCTAATTTGCATAATTTATATCTCAAGAACTCTCAGACCTGGTTAGAATATTGTGAAAGTCTGTGCATATTATTTATTTAATTTGCATGATAATCAACCAATAATGACATCTGTGAATATTATTTATCCAATTTTCATTATAATTAGCATACTTTAGTATTATCTCAAAATTGTCAGCATATTTCACAAGACAGGATTAATTACTTTTCACTTGACATCTTTGCAAATTAATTAATATCTAGGTCAACCATAAAACATAAACAAGTTATTTGTGATGTATGGAATCATTTTTCATTTTTCATTTTTTCATTTTTCATTTTTCATTTGTTTATATCATATACGCTATGTTACAAGTTACAATGTCAGTAATACTGTAATAATACAGGGAATGTTTTATTAAAAAAAAACCTTGCAAAAAAACATTGATAGTTGCACCTATATTGCCCTAATTGACATTATATTAGACTATTTTCACCTATTCTTGGGAACGGACATCCAGACATCTCACTGCCTGGCAACTATCGGAGTGAAAATTGTACTTGGGGATAGTTTTTGAGGCTCTCCTGAAAAGTATAACAAGATTGCCCCTACATGTTCAACATAAATAAATTCGGTTGTGTAGTTGAGTTTGTGCTGTTTCTTCAATTTTAGCTGTTTTATTTTACCATGCAACTTGCACGGAGACAATATATGGTACAGTGGTGCACATAAACCTTAGCAACATAGTAGCTTTATTAATTAAGATCTAAAATATATATAGTAAATAGATAACTGTACTTTGGGAAAAGCAATTTACTTCCAATTTACTTAACCTTTTCTTTTCAATGGTCTATTCATATTGGTGCTTATATTGCCAAACTAAAATACAGAATTTATGTTTGCATTACAGGTTATAATTATTTATGCCTTGTGTGTCACTTGAAATGTCGTAAAAGTAGTTCTGATCATGGTCACTATCATTGTCCATTTTGTTCTAATACGTTTGCTCGTAAGAATCTAATTAAAGATCACTGGAGAAGTAAGCACAGTGACAGTCATACAGGTATGAGATTCAAAGTTTCACATTGTGACCAATCGTTAAAAATTAATAGCATTCTGTTAAATGGTTCTCTCAAAAGGTACATATCACATAAAATACAGCTGGGAAAGAGAAAGATCAGAATAACAAAAGGCTCCAACGACTATTTACTGTAAAATACTTTATTTTATCTGGAATGAATTGTCACTGAAACGACTTTTATTTTTTATTTTCACTGATTTTTGTCGAGTTAAATGTAAAATATAGGAAAAAGGCAATTTGCTGGATTTTATTTTCAATTCAGCGAAAATTAATTCGAGTAAAAATAAAGTATTTTACAGTAATCATGTTTCTCCTGTGCACGAGTGAACTTGGAAAATGAAACATTCTGTATATCTTAGGTTTTAGTTGTGTGCCCAAAGTACAACTGTAATGCATGACAGAATTTATTGTAGTGAAGACAGCAATCTTACATAGCCTATTGTAATCCTGCAACATACAGGGACTATGTCATATTTTGAATTGGTTATTCTATTTGCTTACAGACAGTGGATATTTTTCATTGGAAAATGCCTACCAAGGTGGCAGTGCTTCTGTTAACACCTCTTTTCCAGTTTGCAACAAAAATGGTATCCAGGATGCTGCATGTGCTTCCATGTCAAATGCCACATGCAGCCCACAATTAGACTCCAGTGATGCAGCTCTTCCAAGCACTGCCATGGCAACATCACAAATCTCACAACCAAGCATAAGTAATGTAAACCAGATTACTCCTGATGCTACATGTGCTTCCATATCAGATGCAGCATACAGTCCACAATTAGCCACTAGTGCTCGTCAATGCTCTGACATATATGTATCTCAAATCACACAGCCAAGCATCAGCAATCAACACCTTAATGCTATTTGCTTTAACGATGCATATCACAGACTTGAATCATCTCAGGTAAGTAACAACATGTTTAAATATATATGATAATCGCGTAAGATTTATAAGATGTGTGTAATATGCAACAACATTTCATAAGAATTTACTTAGTAAAGTGAGTAGGGGATTTGTTCCTTTCACTGCGAGATCTCATGGTGCATACCAAAGATGGTAGTTATATCAAAAATTATAGTTCACCATCTAAAAGTGTGTCATTCTTTTAGAGAGGAATATGGCATTGAGATCTCCTAACTTCATCAAAATTATCCATCATTAAATAAGTATAGCACATTAATTAATTATTAGGCATAACAATACTCAAACAATAGTTTTGTTTTTGTTGAATGCCAAATCGACCTACACATTTTTTTAATCGGTATTCAATAAATTAAATCGCCATAACGACCAAAATGGTCACTATCAAGAATGCTGATTTGTAGAATTACTAAATAAAAATGAGTGAATCTGTTGTTGTTGTCTGTCTCAAGCTATTCACGTGTTCTAGCTTATTTGCAATTTGTATTTGCAATGTAATTTGGGTAATGGAAAATTCCTTGTATTAGATATGGCGCATCACAACATGCATGCACAATGCATGACTAAAGAGTTCAGCATCTTAAAGTCGGGGTATTAATTTGATGCATGATGTGGAACTATCTCGTATCTTAGTTTGGATTACATGATTACATTACAGTGATCTAATTCTGAACAACACATTATATGGGATAACCTGCAGTACATGTATAGTAATTAACAAGATATTATTTTTCTTTGTACATTTCAGCCGTCCATTACATCTTCCAGTAAGCTGTTACTTCATACAATGGATGAAGAAACTCCTGATAATTTGGATAAAAACCGTATTCTTAGCCCTATGATAGGAACAAAGGTTAGATATAATAATGTTTTCCTTGTGTCCTTACTAAAAATTAACCAATGTTATGGAAAGAAACGTATCATACATAAGGAAATTATTTTAAATAACCTCTACAAATTTTTTAAATTTTCTACCAACCCCATTGTGATTGATGCATGCTGCAAATATCAAACTTCGTTTTTGTAGATGTACAATGAGCTGATGATAAAAATAAACCACATATACACTGCACACTTGATATGTACATGTATGTGTCATGCCAGTTCAAGTGCATTTCAGTGCATCTCTCACTATAGTTACCTTCTTAGAGGTGATCTCATATTCAAACATGTGGGTCAAACCTACGAAAACCCAAACCGCCCGAACAAAACCCAGTTTTGAGGTTTGGAAGTTTAAACAATAGACAGTGCGGTTCAGGACGACCGCACGAATTTGCATAAAAACTGCGGTTCGAACCGATCTTATTCACACCTCATTCAAGTTGTTGTTTATTTTTAGGATTGACAGTGTTTACATTGCTTCTTGAAGACTAGATAGTTGTCTCTAAAATGTGTTGATTTATTGGTGTACAGTAGTCATTTTACCATGTGTCTTGCCTAAACAAACACTCTTTTATATATCGGTGAACAGCGTGCTGAATAAATTGTTTTGTTTTGATATTAAATTAAATGGACTCGCGCTGATTATTTAAGGCTATTCATCTGCAGACGAGACTTATAAAAAACGAACACTGAACTCTGAAAAAATACCTTATTCATAGAGTGTCTTGTACCCAAGATTGTCGCCCAAGGCGACACAATGCATGTTGCGATATCGCAATCGATGCATGCTGGGTGACAAGGAGAAATTCGCCCACAGTCCCTCAAGACACTGTGCTTCGATGTACTTTCTAAAATAATGTTTGTTTTTTTAATTAACCGGGGGTTTGAAATGTGTCCATTTTGTCACAGAAAAGTAAGATATCGGTAGCGGTAAATACCCGTAATCTTCCCGCAATGCCGTCAGCTGACAATGTTACGGTGGTCGTAGCGCCGGAGTCGTAGCGTTAGCCCCGACTTTAGTTTTGACACAGTGATAGAGGGACTGTGGTTTTCAGATGCCTTCGTAGAAAACAATGTTGCCATTATCGATTTAATACTTTCATCATATTTTGCTCCATAGTATGCATCTTATTTTTTTTCTCCTGAAACCAGGCTAAAATAGTATTGTAAGAAAAACCTAGGTTTCCCTAGGTCTGTCTTCTTTGTTCTCTGTTGTTTGTTTTCAGTGGGGGCATTAATGGGCAGTTAATCTGGTGGTTAGGTTCAAACCTACTACTAATTTGCATATTGTAGGTTCAGTAGGTCTGAATAGGGCAGGAAAGGGCAGGTCGGGTTAACCCAGGTTTGAGCCAGGTGTTTTAATATGAGATCACCCCTTAGCTCATTCAGTCAGGTGACAACAACCCCAATAGTTCAGTCAATTGTAATAAAATATAACCTAACCTGTCATTAATTGCAACAAAATATCTGGCAATATAGAAAAATGTGACAAATGTTTTTCTGAAAAATGTAGAGGTGCCGGCTTGTACTACTAATTTTTCCAATCATTTGGGAGAAAGTACATTTTATTGCCATGGCGCAGCCATGCAAAAAAAATGTATCTGTTCCCTTACCCCTAGTTTTCTCAAGTCATACTCTCACTTTCCTTGTACTATCACCCTGAACAGTGATATAAGATAAGATAAGATAATTCTTTATTACAACCTTATAGAATGAATTACATAATTATCTATTTTGGATTATAAAATGTAATAAAGGTGGTAAAATAAACAAAACAAGTTAGATATCTAAAATCTACTACAATACAGATACATGGAATAATGTAAAAAAATATTAATGACCCATTAGTTGGTTTTCTCTAATGGTATTTGCTGTTTTTATAAATTTGATAAGCTCTGTTAGTAAATATTTGTTGTTTGTTTATAGTATAACAGTATTTCCAGGCTATTTTGAAGAGAGCCTAGCAAGTGAAATATTAGTTGGGTACGCAGGTTATACCGTATGTGTTAGTGTTCGCACCATCTTGTAGACTGATATAGTCTTATCGTCTACCTAAAAGTCTGAACAGCATTGTGCCTATGCAGTCTCTTAGGAAATTTATTTCACACTATGAATGGGCAATACATATACCTCACCATCATCTGTTAGCACTAGAAAAATGGCATGATGGACAGCTTTGCATCACATCAGAATGACAACTCTCCCAGTGTGTTGTTAACTTCAATATCTTCTTATTTTTGTAAAATTATTTTTAACCAAATGTTTGTATACCGTTAGATGTCATCTTATTCCAGTATATCAATACCATCTACCTCCACTGTACGCATTGAAAATGACTCAGAAACTGATATCATAAAACCTGCCTTAATGAATGATTATTACAATACATACTCACCACCATGTTTAATAACTGACGGTAAGTAGTTTTTGACTTGTATCCACTAAGCTGATATGAAGATCCATTGATTCACTGGTGTGTTATTGATGCAACAGTATATTTTTTAAAATCATATAGTGATCATGAAAAACGTCTTGATTACTTATCATGAAATTTGTAAAGTGAAATTCCCCAACAAAGCCCCCTAACTCAGTGAGTCTCTGTTGTTAATAAATCTAGCTTAATTTAAAAGAACTAATTATAAATTCATATTGTGTGATAATTTACTATTACCAATCCATCAAACATTGAATGGTGTATATATATGGTCAAGGGATGGCACCTCAACTTATTGAATACGGTATGTCTCTACAACTGTACCTTCTATTTTATTCCAGCACCACCAGATGAATCCATGACCTGGTGTAATTGTGAGCCATTTCGGCATGGTTCATATGATAGTGAACTTTATGAGCTTAATAACAAACCCTATTCTGGTATGGAAAACTTTTGTAGTCACTTTAAAGTTGTTGTTATTAAATTGTGTTTTTTTGCCTTTGATATATGTGTGTATACATGTGGCATATAGCAAATGTAACAATAACACTACATCTGGATCAGAAAATGTTGGAAAACAGCCAAGCATTTATGTATATTTAGTTTTAATGAGTTTTCAGCATTTTTCAGCGTCACCAAGTTCACTGAATTACACAGGAAACTGAATTCTCTAATGCGGCCTACTGAACCTTTTTGAGTGTAAACTTTGATTGCTGTTCACAAATTACAACCTACCGGTACCGGTACATATTTTGTTTCATTTTTGTTCCAAAATTCTGATCAAGATTTGCAGCCAATGCAAAATGATGTCTATTTGGTCAAAAATTATCAAAACAAAATTTGAACAAATTTTTGTGGGGGAAAAAAATATGGGTTTAATAAGGGTTAATATGCAATGTTACC